GAATTTTTTTTGGAATTTAATCAGAAATTGCTTGGAATTATTGAAATTATCTTTAGATTATTTGGAATTACTGTATTTTCAATTTTTTATTATTAATATATTTTTTTTCTCTTATTATATATTTTTTTATTATTTTGGGGTTGAGTTGAATAGCCTTCGGCGAGACTTCGTCCCACAGAGTTTTATTTTACTTCTTCTTGGATCTTCTCACCTGAGGATGACCACTTTGTGGTCGAAACGCGTTGTGCTATTAAAATAAAAGTTTGGTGTGACGGGCTAATCGTGTTTTTGTTCAGAGTTTTATTTGTCATTTTATCTATTTTTTTTACAATAAAGGCCTATTGATAGGTACTTGAGGGCGCTGCGTGAGCGGTAAATTTCAAGGACACTTATATGTGTAATTTCTTTTCAAAATTAAGTTGAATTTCTTATAACTATTTAATTTGGAATTACAGGAATTATTTTGGAATTACGGAAATTAAGTTTGAATTACAGGAATTACAGGAACAAAAAATGAAATTACGATGGACTCTATTGGAATTACTGGAATTTCGGTGGAATTTTTTGGAATTGGAATTAGTTGTACACATTTTTTTAAGTCAACGGCTCCAGATTATTCTGTTTATTCTCTTTATTTTATTTTTTTTACAAATTTTTTTTTTTTCAGAGCTGCTTCTGATAAGCGAAAACTGCATGTGAAACGTCCCATGAACGCCTTCATGGTGTGGGCCCAAGCCGCCAGACGGAAATTAGCTGACCAATATCCACAACTCCACAATGCGGAACTGTCAAAAACACTTGGCAAGTTATGGAGGTGGGCTATATTTGTTAGTTATTCTATTAATATAAACTGTTGTTTTTTCCATCAACTATCCAAGAACTGTCTCTTGACTTAAAACATCTTGCTCACAAAAACTCACTCCACCCATGCATTAAGTCTCTAAGAGTGATTGACTTAAAAAAGTGCGAAAATACATGTGTCCCATTTAAAAAATGCTAGATTTGGTGTTTTTAACCGACATAAGTGTATGAAACGGAAATTGTTGAATGATGGTTTTTCGTAATTTGATTTTTTTACCAAAGTTGTCAATCTTCATATCTGGAAAGGTCAAGTTATAGTTACCCTGGCCAGATGCGTCCTGTTTGACGGTCAATGATCGACTCTGCTGACTTTCAGTTGCCTTATCTCATACAATATCCTCTGCCTTATTGTGATAACAATTCATTCATGTTATCGCATTTATTTCATGAATGAACGTGTTACGCACTATACACTCACATGTAATTTTTCTAGAAAATTTACTCACTGTATTCATTTTTTCTACTCAAATAATGCATTGTGTTCACATCGTTTACACAAACTATTTGCATTTGTAAATAACAATTGCGCAAATAAAATAAAATTAAAACACTTTATCTTACTTTACTTTACTTTTACCATGACATTTACACTACTAACTGCTCTAGTTAGATCAATAAATGATGATAAATGATTATTTTGTTCATTTACTTGCTCACTGCGTTCGGCAAAATAAACATTTAGCTTCGCCACATAAACTATCACTTTTACTCCTAATAACATAATATACTATTTTTTAATCTGACGTCTGTAGATTCTTTTGTGATTTGAACTACAGATGACTTCACTTATAATTCCATTAATAAACAAAACATAAATCTGAAGAGATTTTTCTTTATGGATTTAACAATGCTAGATATCTCTTATGCCAATGGTTTATTTATAGATATCTACATTAAATTTTTATAATTGGGTATGTGAATAACAAAAACAAGAAACTGAATTCTTTGGATAAATAATTAGAAACAAGTCTGAATATTACTACACCAGATTTTCATTAATTTCTTTCTTTTTCTTGTAATTAAATTAATGTGAAGCTTGTCTGAAGATCCATCTGTTGTCGAGATTATACCTATATGATATCTGTCTAGTAAAGGAATAGTCGTAATTGAAACCTAATGCGCTCCAGATCCATAATTAAATTAGATTCATTTCTGCGATTCTCAGAAATGTTTGCTTATTTCATATTTGCAAACACATGAAAAGATAAACAAACCAAGTGACTAATAATTGTATTTTATGGCCAAAAAGGGCAAAGATCAGGGGCAGATAATGAGCAGAATAAGCAAATTCAAGCATGAGAAACTCAATTTCAAATATCAGCACTCTAAAATAATACCCAAATAAAACAAATACAACTAATAAAATATGTAGTTTAAACCGAAATTTTGAAATTCTTGTTTGAATCCTGAGTAGTAAGAAAAAATCACATCTAGACCTGGTCCTCGTAATTTTTTTTTAAACACCTGATACAATATGTGCTCCTTTTTGCAAGGAGTAGTAACATCAATTAATAATATTTTTACAGAAAAACTAAATAAAAAATAAATAATACAGAAAAAATAAATAAGAGTAAAAGAGTTTTATCAGTTTTAGAAACTTTATTCTTTTGAACAAAATTATCATTCAACATTATAAATACAGTTCGACAAATAGAGATAATCTGTTACATGACCGGAAATGAGAAATCTAGATCGATCTTTTATCTTTCTGCTACAAGGATGAATCTTTTGTGATTTGCCGATGTTTAGTTTTTAAGCGTTGAATATCCTCCAGGGTACTGTCCCATTATCAAATCTAAAGTTCCGGAATGATAATTAATAAAGAGTGACAAGTGTTAAAAATAATCTTCTGAGATCAATATAAGTCTCACAGAAAACAACTTTCTACAATACTTGCCAATCTGAAAAAAAAAAATTGAGAAAATCTGAACAATTTTGAAAAAAAAAACTTGGATGTACCTGAAAATTATTGAGAGTTTTGTCAAAAAGAGTGACAAGTGTTTTAAAAATAATCTTCTGAGATCAATATAAGTCTCACAGAAAACAACTTGCTACAATACTTGTCAATTTGAAAAAAAAATTGAGAAAATCTGAGCAACAATTTTGAAAAAAAAAACTTGGATGTACCTGAAAATTATTGAGAGTTTTGTCAAAAAGAGTGACAAG